ATGAGTCAGAACTGACTTGATGGCACTTAACAACAGCAAGATAAATTTTTTAGAGAAGAATTTATAAATTCAGATTAATATACTGTACTCTAAAAATCATTGAATATCCTTAAAAGGTATGGAATGCATTGCTTTTTTTCCGTATGTTCATTGCACAACTTTGGTAAAATAGCCTTCTTTGCAATACATACACCAATATTCATTTTGATTTATAAATTGGTACTTAAGCACTAAGTTATTTGATTACTGTGCTCTCGCTAATCAATTGCAGCAAAGATACTTGGACTCTCTCAAACTAAAGCTTGCTAATGCTTCTCCTCACTTTCACCTCTCATTTCAGAGATGATAGTGTGGAAAGTGGAAATGATAATGGAAAGAGTAGCAAATAGAGAGAAAATCGACAGATGTTAGAAATAATTTAGGGTAACAGTCTATGACTGTTCTGTTCTGTTGCAGAATCTTACGTGGACATTAGTTCCTATATGTATGAAATGAATGATGATTTGATTGCTGCTGGTTCCCACCAGCTTTAAAGTGTTGTTACTACCCTGCAGGTTAACATCTCTCTGCTTTCACGGCTTCACTGGTTTAAAACTTACAAAAGAAAAAAAGAAATCATTACTTTATTTGTCCCAAATGTAACTGATTATGAGCATCATCTTGGCTGCAGTCTGGTAAGACCACAAGTCTGAACTGTGCCTTAAAATTAGCATCTCCTGGATGCAAAAGCGAAAATAGGCTGTGACACATACTCACAAGGGCTGCACCACAGACTTCAATATGCGGACTGCACATGTCTAAATAGTAGAACAGCCGGACTGACTTTTGACCTGTCTTAGTATTATTTGAAGCAGTTTACTGACATTACCAATAACATCACACATAATAGAACACACATCTTGTAACTGAACCACAGATAGTGCTGTGTAACATAAAGAATCCAGGAAATGCATACTCAAAATGTAAACTCCTCATATAGAATAGCTACTGAAGGATCTGGTAGTCCATAAACAGATTGCTTCTTTTAGATTCAATAGCCACGCTTTATAATTCTGTAGTGACTGCTGCATGGCTTACTTTAAAAGGCCCCAATAATTTCTCAAAATATCACATTTGACAAAAAGCCACATCTATTTTCCTCAAAAAGATGCAGTCTAATATTACTGGGTATGTTTAAGGCTTAGAAATAATGCAAGCCTTCCAGAAGGTGGAGAAAAGAGAGAGAGACAGAGAGAAAAGAAAACCAGTCTTTCAGAGTTAGTAGGTACCATTCTAAGCTGAAGCTTGTACTATCCTTTTCAATTGTAGCAGAGAAACAATTAATAAAGGAGCCCATTAAGACCTGATTATTGCTGCTAAAAAAGGAAGGTTGAATTTCAGTCCTTTGAAGTAACTGAGAATGATTCAGGCCTCATTACAGAGATATAATCTACATTCATACATTTATGTTAGTGATTCAAATCTATTGGGAGAGATTGAATTCCGTTAAATAGTGCATCTTTCCTGTGGAACTTTTCTCAGGCTTTCTCGGGCTAACCTAAGAGGTGACCTAACAATGCAAAGTAGTGGGGTATTTAGGGATTCAACTGTGCTACAAAAGAAAGGCTGTACAGAAAAGAGAAAAAAAGAATGAGATATAATCTAAAAAGCCATGTCAGCTTTTCCTTTGGGCTGTTTTGTAAATGCCTTTCCTGTCATCACGTTGTACAGAAGAGCGGCAAAGGGACTCTAGAACTTTTAAACACTGCACCTGCTGTAACTAGAGTTTAATACGTAAGTATGAAGATGTCTTTTTTCCCGCCCATTTCAGACACAATAAAATATTTAAACTTCTAACTAAAAGATCTGAATAGACTCTTCTAAGGGTACAGAAATTTGGTAGGGATGAAAGAGAGAGATAGAAAATGAAAGAGAGCGAGAAAGAACTAGCTTTGGAGCAGGAGTTGCTATTGTATGCTACCAAAAAAGAAGAAGAAAAAAAAACCCCAAACTGACATCAATAGAATTGTTTCCCAGTGTAAAGAAACACCAAAATAATAACTTTCCTGTGTTTTATAACTTTTTGCAACAGAATTTTTATTGTATAGTTTCATGAAACATATTTTTTTAAACAATGCACTTTTAATTAGTTGTCCTTTCAAACATTTGGATTTTGCTGAACCATTGGGCTGAAATCCAACTCCCTTAGAAACATTACACTGCCTTTCAGGCATTGTTAGTTCAGGTATAAAACTGTGAACTTGAAAATTGGAGTTAGCACTGTGGATTCATTTAAAAATATCTATGCTTTAATTAAAGAGCAAGACTTGTTTGACGTATGCTCTTTCTTTGCTTAACTTTTCATTTAATAGCTACAGAAATCTGAACTAATTATATTAAACTTAAGAATCGACTGTGGTGTTCACCACATTGTCGAAATCTTCCAAGTACTGCAACGTGTTATAAGTAATGCAATTAAAATCTTGATTCTAGTATGAAATGGTTTTATTTCAAAGGCTCTGAATGCACAGATAAATAGAAGAGCATGTAAAGCTATTTTTTTCCAATCACTAAACAACATAATTGGGGAGTCATTCCTAATGTCCATCTTTAATGCCAGATTTTTAATCTCTTTGTATTTTCTCTTATTAATATGGAAGACTGAGGCCAAACACACATTATAGGGATTCTGGCTTGTTTTATGTACAGAAGCTATTTTCATTAGTTCTCTCCAAATTTCAGTTGCAGTTGTTAACCACCCCCTAAGTTCACATTGAGTCCTGGTGTGGAGCTGTGAGTTAATGTGCCAGACTGCAAAGCTGTTTGAACTGCAAGGTCGGTGGTTCAAGCTCACCAGCTGCTCCTTGGAAATCCTATACAGGGTCACTATGGGTCGGAACCAACTCGATGGCACTTCACAACAACAACAAGCTCACATTGAAGTGTTTTTGGTTTTTTTTCCCTTTTACAAATGATCACTTTTGCACACCAAATAGTAGCAATTTCATATGATTCAGCATAATGAAAATGCCCAACTGCCCTATGTAATATACTTTATAATACATCTTTAGGTGCTTCTTCCAGCCAAGTTTTCTCTGGTTAAGAATAATTCAAAGAAATAATCCCCTTGAAATTGTGTCTTACTCAGATTGGAATGGATTATCACAGTTTTTTTCTTCTGTGTGCCTCTCTAGCCTGGAATTGGGTCTGTCTATACCTACCTGGGTAGTTAGTGAGTTTCTGTGACTCATATGAGAGGTGGAGGTGATGGTGGAAGAGAAAGACGAGGGAGGGAGACTGATAGTGAAGTTCTAGTGTTAAAATAAAGACTTTTAAACATTAAATCTGAAGACAGAAGAAACGCCCCTTTATAGCAAAGTGCAAAGGAAATTGCATAGAAAAGAAAACAGACAGCAGGGTATTTGGCCAAATTGTATGGTAAAAAAATTTTGCAATCGCAATAAAGTGCGTTCACTTTGAAGTGCACGCGTGATTCAGTAACTGACTCATGTTAGCAATTAGAAATCGGTCATTTGGGTCCCTGATTTCATTTGAGCCAAGAGAGAGGCGACTTTTAAGGGTGACGATAAATCTCCTTGAGCTTAAAAGGCAGAGAGGGCCAAAGTGTGAACTTTTTACTTCAGCAACGGAAGCGAAAAATCAGTGATTCATTAAAGTGAAGACCTCCTTGGAAGCTGGCAGAAGAGGAGGAAAGGAAGCTAATTATGTCTCCCCTTTCTGTGCTAGCTGCGACCAGTTTATAATCTGCTGCTTTGGAAATTTATCCACAGCATCTTCTGCTTTCTCCCCAGCATTCCCCTTCTCAAGAAGTTAAAGGGAAGGAAGAAAAAAAAAAAAAAAAAAAAAAAAGGGGAGGGGTGGGCTGTGTGTGCAGCCAAACGCCAAGCCCCGGGTGGCTCTCAAGGATTTCACTGCCAAAAGGGGAGAAAAATCCCTACGCTGGAAAACAAGTGCGGAAGGGGTACCTTGTAGGGGGTTTGGCTCAGGCTGTACAACAGCAAAATTCGGAGAGCTTGAGGTTAGCCCTCGCGCTGGTGGCCCGAGCTGCGAGCACCAGGACGCTTGAAGAGCAATTAGCCGGAGCTCCAGGCGCCGGCGGAGAGGAGAGGGACCCCGAGCTCAGTGCACAGGCAACGGGCTCTCTTCTCGCTATCCTGCTCTCCCCCGTCCCGGCCCCCTCCACCCCCCTCCCTGGCGTTCCCAGCAGCCTAGGGTTTCAGATGTCCCACCGCCGTTTGACCCCCTCCCCCCGCTCTTCCACCCCTGCAAATGAGGTTTGACCAGCAGAGGCAGAGCCCACCTCTGGCTTGAAATCACTGACATTTAGACTCCAGGCTTCAACCTGTTTACAAGTGGGCTTTCCAAAGGAAGGGGGTGGGGGACTAGGGCCAAACAAAACGCCAACCGCCACCCCCCCCGCTCTCCCCCCTTAAACAAGAAGTGACTTTCTGGAGGCTTCAAATCAACAGGCACCACTAAAAAGAGAAAGCAAGAGGGGGAAGCAAACAGCGACGGCCAGGCAGCTGCCTCCAGTTCTGACAACTCCAAAGGGACTCCCTTTTAGAACTGGCTAGCAGACTGGGGCTGTGCAGTGCGGTACCAGAAGGTGCCAACGCAGAGGGGCGCAGACACCCCCCAGCTCTCCAGCCCACCTCCTTTGGGTTTTGTTCACCGTGCTGTTATCAGTTTTTCAGACCTTTTTTTTTTTTTTTGCATTAACATGGTGAAGAAAGGAATGAAGAGGTTCTAAGAACACAGAGACTCCTGGAGGAGCGGAGATCGCTGGTGACCATCACTTCCACCACCAACTTCTGCTGCTGTGGCCACCCACGTTCACCATTCACTGGGAGACTCCAGAGGCGCACGGCAGCGGATCCGAGAACGGAGCGAGGAGAGGCAACCGGCCCTTCCGAGGAGTTATGGATGTTGGTGCATTCACTTCTGGCCAGATCCGCATCCAGAGGGAGCTAACCAGCGACCACCACTTCCAGCTGTCTCCTTGCCTTGCACCAGGTCTTACCCTTCCAGTATGTTCCTTCTGATGAGACAATTTCCAGTGCCGAGAGTTTCAGTACAATGTGGAAATGGATACTGACACATTGTGCCTCAGCCTTTCCCCACCTGCCTGGCTGCTGTTGCTTCTTGTTACTGCTCTTGGTGTCTTCAGTCCCTGTCACCTGCCAAGAACGTGGTCAGGACATGGTGTCACCAGAGGCCACCAACTCCTCTTCTTCCTCTTCCTCTTCGTCGTCCTCCTCCTCTCCTTCCAGTGCGGGGAGGCATGTGCGGAGCTACAATCACCTCCAAGGAGATGTCCGCTGGAGAAAGCTATTCTCTTTCACCAAGTACTTTCTCAAAATTGAGAAGAACGGGAAGGTCAGCGGTACCAAGAAGGAGAACTGCCCGTACAGTAAGTAACAAATGCGTGCTCCCCTCCTTCCAGTTATCCACCCCCATCACATACGGGGGGAAAGCTCTTCCAGATGTGACCAGCTAAATATTTACGTCCCAACCCCTGTAAAATGATTAAGTGGAATACTTTAACACGAAATCGCCCCCCATGTATACATTGTGCTGCTTGCACCCCTTTCTTTACAGCGCCCCCTCCTCACACACCGCCCGCCCCGCTTCTTGCACCCTATCCGCTTCTTAGCTAGCTTGTCACTCGCCGGATCACTCAGGGCGCCCGAGAGTCGTTGCAGTCCATAGATGTCCCTCTTGCTGTCCACCTCCCTTCCCCACCTCATGCGACCGTCTGCTTTCTCTCCCTTCCGTATATGACTCAAGTAAACACATTTTATTTGTTTTCGCTGGCATCTTGTTAAGAGTTTTGGGACAGGCCCCTCAAGCTGAAAATAATTATCTGCTGCCAATTATAAGAGCTTTATGAGAACTTTATTTAAGAAAGGCAATTTGACTCTCTCCCTACCCCCATTCTTTTAACCTTGGTAGTAGCGAAAACGCACTTTTCTGGTTTTGATTTTTTTTTTTTGGAGGGGGGAAGCTTCTCATGTTGGTTTGAGTCATTGCAGTTCATGAAGTTAGTTTTTCAGGCACCACCGTTGCTATTTGTCTTCTGCCTGCCTTCCTCTTGGTAACATGATGCTCATGTCTGTACTGTCAACAGCATATGCGCTGCTTTGTGGTGTCCTGTTGTACTCGTTTCTTCTGAAACCTCTCATACTACAGCATTGTAAACATCTGGGACTGAATTCACACAGACCTCACACAAATTTCATTGTCATTCTCTTATTTTCAAAGTAAAAGTCATAAGTCTGTTTCCATGGCTGTAGTTTATCCCACAGGATAACTTTTTCTCCTCACTACAAATCATTCTCTGATCTCTGATCGCTTGTCTCCTTCTGTTTCTTTCTTCTAAGGGTATGAGTTGGGGAAGTGGGCGGGGGAGAGAAGGAGTGGATATTGTGTCTCTTCTTGAATCAGTCCAGCAAAGCCAGATTACTCTGTTGACTTCCTTTCCTAGTTACTTTCAAGTGTGGAACTTATTCATCCCCTATTGATTGTTATTTGAAAGGATCCGGAGGCTGTGCAATGAATGAAGACAGTAGACAATGACATTTAAGCATCTTTAATGACCATTTAGCATTATCCCAATGGTAGATTTCAGATCACCTTTTAGGGAACTTTTTTTGTGTTAATTATTTGGGAATTCCAAGCATGAATTTGCCAGCTAACTTAATACACAAGGAACAAATTTCAATGACAAGGATTCCTTGGCCAGGTATAATGAAAATGTTGATGGACTAGAATTTAACATTTTCTGTTTAAAATTTGTGAGAATTAAGACTCTTCTTCGCGTTTGGACTTACATTCAACACCAACATGTGTCTCCTCAGATACAGCATACTTTATTAAAACTAACAATATGTTTACATAGTCTAAAAATATATGTAGAAGTATTTTTATGGTATCCCATTTCATGTTTAATTTTAGAGATGCTAAATAGCCCATTTATATATATTTTCATTCTGAATCCTTAAATTAATGCCATTCTATGTTGCAGACTTTTTTTTCCCCCCTTGCTTGAAAGTCATTTGCTACCTGAAATCATGAGATATTATTTATAGTCTCTATGGGCTGTTGATTTAAAATGCAATACCTGTGTTTACTTCTTAAGCAAAATAGTCTTGGTGTCATCTTCATGAGGATGGAGAAGAAGCTGTCCAGTCATTCACAGAAGAGTGGGCTGAAAAGGAAAAATAAATAAATAAATAAATAAATAAATAAAATAATTCACAAGGACTAAAAAATGTATATATACTAAAGTTACATTTTATATTTTTTAAATAAATAAATAAATAAAATAATTCACAAGGACTAAAAAATGTATATATACTAAAGTTACATTTTATATTTTTTGTTATTGGAGAATTTCAAGGGACTATGGTGTGGCAGTATTGGATGAGTAATGAACTGAGAACCACATGGTCAGTGGTTCAAAGCCACCAGCTGCTCCTCAGAAACCCTATATAGGGTGGCTGTGAGTCACTTAACAACAACCACCTAATAAAAATGTAGAGTGTTAACCTTAATCAATCATTTTTTCCATTTAAAAAAAAATTTTTTTTGGTACACTAACTTGACTATGTCACTGGTATATTTTAAGTGTCTTTATAAAGTGATACAAGAAAGACTGATCTGTACTACTTTTGGTTTATGTGGCTTAAAATTACAGTTTTCTAGAAGTGTAATAATTCTGTGGTTAGCTGTTTATTAAAATGATTTTCCAGTATACATATACATTGGGCTTAATTTTTACAGTAACTATCTGTAAGGAGAAATTCTGCAAATTACTGCATAAAACTGGTGTGAAATTTCATCTTAACTCTCCATGTATCTCTTCCCTATGATAAAGTGTATAAATAACCATTTTTGAAATTACAAACTAAATATCTTATATGGTTGTTGTTGTTGTTATGTGCCATCGAGTCGGTTCCAACCCATAGCGACCCTGTATAGGGTTTCCGAGGGTGTAAATCTTTACGGGAGTAGAAAGCCTCATCTTTCTCCCGTGGAGCAGCTGGTAGTTTCGAACCGCTGACCTTAAGGTTCGCAGCCTGATTCGTAACCACTACGCTACCAGAGCTCCTTATCTTATATGGTTGTGCAATCTTAATCAATGATTAAAATGAAATGGGCAGGATTTACCTTGCTAAATAATATCAAAACGTAAATGATTTAGGCTTTCCAAGAACATCTGTATCAAAATTCAGCAAGTGAAAAGCAGAGGTTGAAAAAGCCTTAATTTCACATGTGGCCTGGTAATCAGAACTCTGGTACAATTTCCAGCTGCACTGATTCAGCTGAAGTGCATGCTATCGTTAAGATATTGTCTAAATGTTGCATAATTACATGTGAACAAACTTTTGCCATGCCTACAGGGTAGCCAGCAGGCCAACCCACCAAATGGTAGCCTGTTAAATATTAGGGTATCTAACCTCTGAAAAGTGTCAGTTCCTTGTCCAAAACCACATTTCAGTCACATTTTCCTAAACAAGTTATTAATTACTCTCAATACACAAAGCTGTTCTTTTGAGGTTTGCTTATTTGAAGATTAATTTTCTTTGTTACTTTTGACCCTAGTATTATTGCTGCTAAGCTACAGCAACAGCTTATCTAAGAGGTTATATGCTTGTGATGTCTTGGGTAATTAAACAACTGTTTCTCTGGCTTTTTGCCAGCAAAATGCTAACAAAAGGGAAGCAAGGAAATCACCCATATGCATTGCAAAATCATTTTTAACTATTACCTTCAAAGCTGGTTCCCAGAAAGTCTGTTTCTAAAAATATCACATATGCTAGATAGTCTCAATTTTTGGCGATTAGTATCATTTCTTTTTGTGTGTGCATTTGTTTCTTTGCCATTATATGAGAATAAAGGCAGCATAGATGAATTATGTTTCTTCTGCCAGAAGTCTGAGAAAGCTTGAATAATTTAGAATAGCTCTGGTGTATCTGTCACTGGATATGTCCAGGCTCATTTAGGTTTTGTTTTATCATTCTTTACATCTAGAGCTTTGCCCTTGAAACATTACCACACTGCTCCATTCTGGCCTTCTAGAAAGGCTGGATACAGCTGTTAGGTACACTTGCAATTGGGACAAGGAAACTCGCGTCTATATTAGAGTAAAATAACTGTTAAGCTTCTTTCATGGTTGTAACTTGTAGAAAAGGGGAATCTAGTGAAAAGAAAATACATCCCTAAACTGCAGACAGCTAAGGATATTCCTAAATCAGAAAGCCACAGAGTTTATGAGCTTTTGGGGAAAAGAACATGGGATAGAACAGAGAAGTCAATATTTACTGTGTATTGGATTATGTGTCCTATCTCTTTAAGTATTTGTTGTTGTTGTTAAGTGCCCTCAAGTAGGTTCAGATCTCATCTAATATTCATCTTAGTCACATAATTTATATATAAGTATCTACATCTTTCAAATATGAGAGCTAAGACTGAATAGTAAACTGTCCAAGGCCACTCAGCTAGAAATTGGCAGAGCCAGGATTCAAACCTAAATCTGCTGGCAACATTGACACTGATTCATTTGAATGAGAAATTCCTAAACTCTAAAACACAAATTACACCAAACCTTAAATGCTTATTGCTATGAACATCAATAGTTATTGAGAATGGAACTGGAACAGAAATAAAGTAACAATAGAACTGAAGTGATATATGTCACAGGTATCACTGCAGTAGTAATTTAGTATCAGAAAATGTTAAGGTAATCTCTAAGTGAAACATCTCTTTTGATACTATGTTTAGGGATACAATTGCTTATGGACACAAAATGTACACATACATCAATCTCACTTATGTTAACAGAGGTCATTAGGAATACATAACTGTTTAAGAAAAAATGTCATTGTCTATAGTAATTGTTTACAGCTGAGAGCCAAATGTTTAATTGTTCCCATGTGTAAAAAAAATAATTTGATTGTAAATACCATTGGGAAATCAGGCTATTGCAGAAACTTCTGATATACGACTCTAAAAAGAATCTTGAAGACTTAAAGTTACATTGAGAAGACGTTTTAATTCCTTTCTAATGAGTCTTCAAATCACAATGGTACTTCGCCACATAAAAAAATGATAGTTTATTACCTAGGGTTTAAGGCTTTCATTATTGCTTTCTAATCAAAACTAGAACTTATTGAGTTGTTAAATAAAATGAAGCAAGTGATTGTTGAGAAATATAAGGACTCTTATCATGTGGTGTTGTAGGATAAGTATGAGACTGCAAGGTCGACGGTTCAAACACACCAGCTGCTCCTTGGAAACTGTGTACAGGGTCGCTCTGAGTCAGAACCAACTTGATGGCACTTAACAAGAACAGCAACAATATGGTGTCTTAATAAACACCCCCAAAGCTTTCTGGAGAGAAAATCCACA